CTTAACATTTCCTCCAATTTTTACAAGAATACCCTCAAATTAAAGCTCAGAGTGTGCACTTTATATTCATTATATAACTGTAACTTGAATATGTTCTGGTCAGCAGCTAAAATAATAAAAAATAGTGCCTGTGTCCAAATATACATGGACCTAAGTGTATATACACACACACACACACACACACACACACATTTGCTGTTGTACATACATTTTGCTGTATTATAGATCTTGCTTTCATTTCCATCTGGAAGATAATTTCATTGCATTTATCAACACTATGTTTGCTGCGCTTGCATTATAAGGGAAAAAATGTGAGGTGGTTGAATCCATGCTTGACAAGCTCCTGTCTTAACATCTTCACAGGCCTCTTCCTTTGTGGCTGGTGATGTTGTTCTGGACCATATCAGTGCTCTTGTTCCATTCAAAATAAACTTGATTGTCCACCGGAATGTTCTCAAACTTAAATTCTGAACAATGTTTGGACATTTACTTGTAAAGAACAGTTGTCCTAGGACGACTACAAATATGCACTATCAAAAATCAAACCACAATATTTATATAGAAATACAGAAGTGTATTGACAGACTTTCTGTGTTCTAGCTTCTCTAAAGTAGAGGGCATGATTTCTTATATGGTAAATTAAGGTAACTGATTTCATTTGAAATGTGTCTATACATTCTACTTCTTCCATCTTGTTGTCCACTTCTTCTCTGTCCATGTCTTTTTACAGTCTCTCCTCTTGCTCTGTCCACTACATCAATGCCCTCCTCTCTACTCATCTCTTCTCCCTCTCCTTCTCATCTCCTCTTTTTTACGTCATCCTCTCTGCTCATCTCTTTCTATCTGTTCCACTCTTCTTCTCTTGTTACACCCCTTTCTGTAACCACTCCACAAACTTTTCCACTTGGACCTCTTTCTTTACCCCTCCTCCATTATGTATGTACGTATGTATGTATGTACAGTATGTATGTATTTATGTACTTATTTATTTATTTGCATACTCTTTTACCCTTTTCCCCTTTACAGTAAAAGCAATTACCATAAATGTGTAAACAATTAGGAAAATGTGTTTCCTGTGCTGTGTTAAGTGTGCAGCTATTAGTTTGGGGCCAACTGAAAATATACCATGTTCTTTTGATGATATGACAAATTACAGAGTTTTGTTTGTTGTGTTTGGACAAATGGTACATAAATGTTTGCGATTTGTGTACTTTTTTTCAGATATTTTAATGTATTGGTTGGTTGTTGTATTAACTATTATGAAAACATTTGAGAGTTTTGTTCACAGTGTTTTGAGAAAAAATATTTGCATGGTTTGTAATTTGTATGAAATTAATGAAAACTTATAATCTGTTTAGGACAATTATAAAGTGTTCCACTGTTTTGAGAACAGTAACCTGAGTTTGGAGAAATGTGTAAAATCGATTGAGAAAAACTGTAATATTGAAAATTTAATTTAATTTCAGCACTTAGCAGGAAAATTAAAATGTAATAAAGTAAACTGAAATAGTAAACTGCAGTAAATAATGTAGGTCTTCCTAAAAATCATATACACAGGTTATTAGTGTTACCTAAATAATAATAATAATAATAAAAATAAAAATGATGTTAACTAAAATAAAATTTTAAAAACATCTTACTAAACTCTAAAAATTATATTAAAATAAATATTGTATAAAAACATAAAAAACAAATGAAAGTATATAAATTATGCATCAATAACACTACCTATGCATTGTCAAGTACTTGCACTTTATTTAATACAAATTACTTCAAAGCAGCTTTACAGAAATAAGTTTGCATGTTTCAAAATTCAGTTTCAGGAATCAGTAGTTTCAATTTTCAGATACAACTTTATTGTGACCAACATTGAGGACTGGAGAATATTCCAGGAGGTAAATGAAGAACATCAAAACTGATCCGAAGTTTGGGTTTCCCCATAATCATCATCATCATCTCTTTCTTACAGCACATTGAGCTGTAAATAAAACAATTCATTACATCATAAAATATAATTTTCCATTTTATTTGTAATATATGCAGAATTATTTTAATAGTTGAATTTTTACTTCAAAATCAACATTCATTTCAGGTTTTCCAGTGTTTGCATTAACAAACTCACCTGGTGAAGCTACCTTCTGCATCGCTTCCTTTTTGGGTGGTTGAGACCACTGCAGCGTCATGTCAGAAAACCCTCGTTCCACCAAAGCAGACTGAAGCTGAAATCAGCAGATCTCTTAAAACTGCTATCAGTGCACTTAGATTTCTGTATGTTTCCCTCTCTCACCTGTGACAGGAGCTGGACTCTCATTTCAGTTTCAGACAGACTCGAACTGGATTTCAGTTTCATCTTCACAAAGGTTTTCTTCAGTACAGGACCTAAAAGAGTGACACAAGAGTGAACATACATAGAAGGGAAAAGAAAACTCTAAATGCAAATAATGAAAACATAAAATGCATTGTTACTAAAATATCTACAGCAATTTAGTGCAAATGCATCTCTTAAGATTAAATGGATGCAATGAGAAGTTGTATAATGATCCTCAAAAATCAATGAAAAACAAAAAAAGAGCCAGATGACATTTAAATACAAGTTCACTTTCAATGATGCACGTGCACACTTAGACATCAAAGGGGGCTTGAGCACCTGCCCTTTTTATTCTTCGAGAGAAAGTGCCCCTTTTTCTGCAGAGTTGAATTTTTTTTTATTTTATAAATGAATATGTATATATGTGTGTGTGTGTGTGTTTCTGTTTGCGCACAACTTTCCCTCTCAAACAAATAAAAAATCAAACTATCAGGTCTATCAGGCACATCACAATCACAGACAGAGAGCCGCAGAAGTGAAGCCCTCCCTCCCTTTCCAGTTGTGTTCGTCTTGCTGTGGAGGTGAGGGGTGATGAACAAAAGACTAAGCTACCTGTGCCTCGAATTTACAGCTAATTATCCAAAAGACAAAAGGCAATTATAGTTAATTTGTCTTGCTAACATCCATGACTCATGAGAGCTACCATGTAAGTTAGCTAAAGTTTAGCTAAGGCAATAGGAAGTCTAGTAGGTTAGACCAGTGCGCATTCTTTCACTGCATGATTCATTTTTTAAAATGCATTTAGAATGATCATAAAATTCAAGATACGGGGGCAGAAATGTATATATTTATATCATTTAATATAGTTAACCAGTATCACGCGAAGACTGACGTTTTTTTTCCACCAAAAAGCAGCATGATTACAAATGTGATATTGATTTTATACAGCAGTTCAATAAACAAGAATTTAATATTAAGACACTTATGTTTTAGGCACAATATTGACTGTTTTTGCTCTATTTTGCCAACAAATATCATTCCAATTCGTCTCTCTGAGCAATATGACGCTGTTTTGTTCCTGAATGAATCAACCGTTTAAATGATTCGGTTCAGTCGCAATGACTCACTTATTAATAGTGACTTGCTGCCACCTACTTGCAGTTTTAATTTCACATTTAAAGTATATTTTCATTTAAAAAAATAAATAAATAAATATCAGTATTCAATGTTTTACGTTTAAAATATCAAAACAGTATTAATGCATTTGTAACTGCAGGTTAAATGCATTCCTGTCCTGCATTAAACAGTGTGTAAATGCATCTAAATGCCCCTTCTAATGCAGTTTCTGTGTTTTCTCTGGATTGCAAAGTTTAATTTTGTCAATACTGATTTAATTTGCTCGATAACAGCCCAAATGACTTATTATTCTAATTGACTGTTTCAATTTAAGAATTTAACTGAAAAGATGATGCACACTTTTAGAAAAAATGGCTTTATAAAGGTAAAAATGCCCATAAACAGTAAAACAAATCTATTTAAACTTATTGGAAAAGATTAATTTCTCTCATTGCTGTGAACTGATCACCACACAGAATATGCAGAATATCAACAACTTTAGGAGTCAGCTGTCCACGGTAGTCCTTAAGATATCAGCACAATAACACAGCAATAACTCAGCAAAATATTGTCTAATTATCATTATCGATAAAATATATATATATTTGTCAATATCGCGCACCCCTAATATATTTAAAGTTTTTTTTAGAAAAAATAAATAAATATGAAAAGTGCTTTTCTCCACTTGAGCCCCTGCCCCTCAAAATGTCTGTGCACATCACTGATGAGGTTGGACATGGTTTAGAGTCAAAAACAAATGCATTTTATGTGGTGAATTATTGACTGTTGAGAGTATGCAACTCTTTAACTTTCACATTTTCAAACAATAATTTGCATTCAAAAAATAAATAAAGCCATTAATAGTTTCCCAAAACACTAAATCTGCTTGTTTGATCACACCTTCTCCATAGACCTCCACCTCACACAGAGTAAGAATCGTTGAATCTCCAGGAATGAACAGACTCACATATCGACCATCCATATTGTTACATGTGTAGGTGGAGGAAACACCAGCTGGAATGCTAGAAATTACAGCACATCTAAAGAGAGACGGAGAAAACATCATTTAGACTTCTAGTCTTTCATCATACATTTTTTCAGGGATTTTCATGGATATTAAGCAACGGAAAGAGGGTCTCACATGGGATTGTTGTTGCCGTTGTTCTCCAAAGAGTTTCCGATGCGAATCTCCGCTCCGTTTATTCGTTCTGGACAGCAGTCTAGTCTGTTTGTGATGACGACTCTACTTACTCTGTAAATATAACGCAGATCCACTCTCCACCATGGGTTAGTCTGAATATCGGTTGAGGAACACGATGACGATGGTTGTATGAAACCTGGATTGAAATCAATGGCTTGTTGACCAAGCCAGGTGCCAATGGTTGATGACTGTGTGATGGTTCTTCCTGTTGCCAAATTACCTGTAAGATGTCATAGTGTTGAGAAATGGTTTTAGTCAGCTTATTTTATACTCTTTGAACGTGTTTGAGGTGGTTTTCATCAATCTAGGAATGCATTGCTGTCAGATCTGTCTGAGCTGGTCGAGTCTTCACAAAGTCCTTTTCAGGGAATATCTTTTCACTCGGCGACCATATTTGTAGCGCCTCTGAGCAGCTATTTCAGGCATTCATGACCAAGTCCTGTCTACCTGAATGGGTAAATTATGAAATTGCAAAGACTGCTGGCCATATTAGCATTTAAAGGGGTCATATGATGCTATTTTCAAATTTAATTATTTTGTGTATTGGGTGTAATAGAATAGGTTAGTTTGCTTTAATGTTCAAAAATATATTCTTTTTTTCACAAACTGGTCATTATTGTAGCTCCTCTATGCCCAGTCTTCCTAAAACGTGTTGATTTCTACAAAGCCCCTCCTTTGAAAAGCTCAGGGTGCTCTGGTTGGTCAGCTGACTCAGCGCATTGTGATTGGTCAAACATCTCAAGTGTGTGTCGGAAATGTAACTCCCCTTGTCATAACCGCCAGCTTCAGCTTCCAAAGCTATTAAAAGAACAGTTAATAATGTTGTCAGTTTTACCATCAGTTCGAGCCTGAGTCAGATTGTGAAAAAAGCCGATCGGTTGGAACCAACTGTGAGCTGAACATATCAGAGTGCTAAGCTGCACATGACGCTGCCAGTGTGAAAGCACAACAGGCACTTGCTGCTTCAGCTCTGCTTTAGCATCCAGTGTGAAATGGAACATAGTGCATCTATGTCTGTCGTCGTTTCACCGCCAGTTATAAGCAGAAAACAGGACACTGTTTGTAAATATAATTCCTTCTCTGCACTTGTGATTGTAAGAACTGCAAACAATATGCGTTACTCTACACTTCGCCAAACTCTGCATTTGAACAGTCAAAACTGAAAATTCCGTCATTAATGTCGTTCCAAACCTGTAAGACCTTCATTCATCTTCAGAACACAAATTAAGATATTTTTGATGAAATCTGAGAGCTTTCTGACCCTCCCATAGACAGCAATGTGACTGAAACGTTCCCAGGACCAGAAACGTAATAAGGACATCGTTAAAATAGTCAATAGGGCCTTTCGCACCGCTTTAGTTCCAGAACTAAATGTACAGTACTAAAGTACTGGGACCGGTCGACAGCGTCTTCATTTGTGCGTGGCGTTCAACAACAGAAACAAAGAAGAACAACATTAACAACAGGAGGATGGGGGACACTGTGATCGGAGCTGTGTTTTTGTTGTGTCTCGCGGGTTTCACAATAATGGACATGGAAAGTCGACGTATACGTAAAGCGATTGAAAGAATGGAAAGGAGGATTAAGAATCTCCAACGACAACTACCAGTGCTACATTTGCTACAAGTGCCTGCACTTCAGCATCCGTCCATCTATCGCTGTTCTCCATTCTTGCGAAACAATGTTTACAGTATGTTTACACAGCGTTTTAAATCATGGCGGGTGAGGGCGTTTTCATACGCGTTTGGCCAATCAATGTCTACTTACGTCATGATTAGTACCAGTTGTGCTGGTTAGACCCTGCTCCGGAGTAGGAGCTAATTTGGTTCTCGAAAAAGGCAGTCCGGTACTAAAATCGCACCCAGTTCCAGCGGTGCGAAAACGCCAAAAAGTGGGTAGTTCCACAATTAGTTCTGGTACTATGAAAAGGTTCCCGCGGTGCGAAAGGCCCTATTGTGACATCAGTGGTTCAACCATAATTTTATAAAGCAACGAGAATGCTTTTTATGAGTGAATAAAATAAAAATGAATTTATTCAACAATTCTTCTCTCGGATTTCATTGAAATATCTTAATTTGTGTTCCGAAGATGAACGCAGGTCTTGCGTGTTTGGAACGACATGAGGGTGAGTAATTATTGACAGGATTTTCATTTTTGGGTGAACTATCCCTTTAAGGGCTCTGATTCAGAAGCACCAGATTGTCCTATCAAAGTCGGAATTTTTTTTAGAGACGGCCTTGCACTCTTGCAGGTTCAGGAAACTGTCCTTCGTAAAATGCGCTACACACACTTGAACATTTGAACATTTGGGTTGTCACTGATTCTTGAGATGTGGGACAAAACATGTCCAGCAATTGTAACTGCTATTAGGTTTAAAAATGAAAATATTTCAAATTGTAAATGTTATGAGGGATTAATAATATAATGTATTTAACACAATTATCCCCTTCAGTTTAATTTATTATTATTATATCAAGTTTATGACACTCAATGTCTTCTCACTACATCTAAAACAGTGTGTCCACAGAGAAGGATTCAATTATTCATATGATAAAAAATGGATATATATTTTTTAATCATGAAAAATAGCTTGTTTTATCAAATGCAACCCTTAATAATATATCATATCAAAACAAGGTTGTTATTCAATGACACACGTGTGATTGTGAAGTGTGAAGGTTTCAAAGTTGTGTCCCCATTTTTGTCAACACCGTCAGACATTCATTAAAATGTAATAAATGAATATCAGGGGCAGCTGTTACTCTAAAGGACCCCTTGCCACATTCCACCTCTGCAGAGTACATCAGTGTCAGACAGGCTCTGGTCAGTTTTATAGTTTTAGAATATTTTAAATCCTAATGTTAGTATTTCCTGTGTCACAACCATGATATGTCAACACCATCTTCCAGTTTCTGAGGAAATTATTTGAAATGTTTAGATCATTTTATTCTCCTGACACAGGTTCTGTTAGCTACTACATGAACTCCATTTGTTTTGTGAAAGAAATGCCAAATTAGTCACCACCATAAGATTTTCTGTCTGACGACGGTGACGGGCCAGTGACAGAGTTCACATTCACCATGAAGTCATCATATTTTTGTGGTTTTCAAGTAATTTTTAATTATACTAAATTGACAATAGTGTTTATTTTTTTCTAATAATGTATAAATACTAAATATGTGACCTGACAGCATATATTGCTTTTGTGGATTGATAGTCATCACTTCTAGCAGAGTTAGGGTTGAGCGAACATAAGGCTGAGGGAACAAATGACACTACATAAAACATATCTATACATAATACAGACATTTGTATTCTGATCGTATAATGTTTGGATAATTTGTTAAAATGTTTAAAAGTAAATATTAATATCCTGGTGAAATTGAAATGAGATACAATGTAAATGGATAGAGGTAACAACAAATTGTTTTATTTCTTCAATTAACAGTTTTTAAAAGTTACCTTGATACCATAGCAGATCCACAGCAGACATACTGTTCTGAGATGAGATAAAATAGATAATTTGTGTTCCAATCTATCAAAACACTTAAATGTGACTCTTGAATAAAAGCTTTATAATCAATAACATTCTCACAGTTTGCTGTGTTTGTTTTAATACAGTAATTGATTGATTCAATGTATTTGATGGTTAAAATGACTATAAATTCAGGTTTTTATCACCCCCGTCAGATGTGTCAACTCTGTCAGGTCTGTCACCTCCATCAGATCAGTATTTTGATGATATTGTATTATGATATTTTATATTTGTTGAGGAATTGTTGGTTACATGTGAAAATGTAATCTGTCTGCAAGTACAGATGTAATCTGTCTGCGCTCAAAGCCTCTCAAAAGTTGTATAATAACTTTTTAGAAATTTGTTTATCTTTTTTAATTCCTATTTTGATTGTACTCATTCATTCGGGTTCTCATGTTGTTCAGAGATCTTGCACCGGCTGTTAGCGGACCTCACAGTCACATACTCGCCAGTCTTGGTCATTAGATAGCAGTGTTGGGCAAGTTACTCTTAAAATGTAATTAAATTACAGATTATTCCTTTTAAAATTGATCGTTACTTTTCTGATTACTTTATTTCAAAAGTAATTAGTTACATTACTAGTTATGTTACTTTTTTCTGTACATCCATGAAACTTACATGAAAAAGTAAGTTTTGTGTCACCTAGCCACTAGTCTCAGCCTCAGACATCATGCCCATGGACCGTTGACTGAATGACAACTGCACACTTAGCTGGAAACACTTCAGGAGTTTCGAAGACGACATTGGATTGGTTAGATTATACAGGATTTCCAGAAGACGTGTGTGTCGTGTTTTTGAATGTTCCACCTGTAAACAGAAATGCCGTGGCACCTGTTTTGTCCCACTTCTCAAGAATCAGTGTTGTAAATAAATCTTAACCATTGATGTCCACTTTCAGAAGGCCAAATAAAGTGCTTTTGCTTTCACGAAAAAACATAACATCATCTCCACAACATGGTGGCAACAACACTACTGCGATACCTGAAACCACTCCTTCCTTCTTTGTTTATACATTTTCGGCAAGTTTCGGTCAGCCTTTGCTTTTAGATAGAAAAAAAAAATCATTTTGTGGGAGACTGAGGTTTGTAACTTTGCAGATCTTACACATGCATAAAGAGCTACATAACATGCTAGAGAAACAGGAAAACGTGACAACTTATCATGTGACCTAAAGCAATGAAATCTGACATAAGCTGCCCCCTAAATGTCTTATAAAAACTTATATTCCACGCTGGTCCAGCCAACGCGCATGTGCCATCCTTTATCAGAACAAACTCTTTCTATGCCAACCAGAGCCTCTAATGGCAGCTGCAGTGACGTGACAACTTTATCAATTGCCTATTGACTCTTTTATTTAGAAGACGGTCCTTATTCTGCCAAATTATGCATCTTGCTTTCTCCCATTCATAATAATATGCAAGCACCGTCCGAGTATATGTTAAGTCTTTGGATCTCGACTAGAGTGAACTATATTAAAAACTACTGTAATGAAATGAGAACAGCTTTAAAAAAGTCGAATTCCCCTTGAAAGGGTTTAGACCAGGTTGTTAAGTAGCTCTGAATTACCTGGAAAAATCACATAGACTCCCACTTCACAGAGAGTAAGAATCTTTGAAGTTCCAGGAATATTCACAATAACATAACGTCCCTCCATCCCACGACACGAGTAGCTGTAGGTAGCTCCTGCTGGAATAGAAGAAACTACAGCACATCTGGAGAAAGAGGAAAGAGTGAGTTGCTTCTGTGTTTTTGTTGCTCATTATTAGTATGACTCTCTTATTCCTAAATTTATTTTATATACAATATTCTTAGTATAATACATGATGTTTTGCACTTTTTTTTATTTATTTTGCAGCTAAGCTGCAATAGACATGTACAATTATTTGTACAATTACGCAAATGAAGTATTATTATTACACATAGAAAATAATGTTTTGTTGTTTGTATCCCTCTTGCCTGTGTGATGCTTCAGAGAGAAACGGTGTTGTTGAATTTTGTAATGTTACAAACGGTCTCGTGACCAAGGCAACCACCTTTAGCCTTTAGCACTTGACCTATATCCCAGATAGCACATGTACGTCTGAAAGATGTCTGTTAAAAATCGCTTGATATACATCTGCTGTGTACAAACAGCTGAGAGACGTCTGTAAGATGTCAGTTATACATACATACATTCTAAATCATAAATATCTTAAAGGCATCTAATAAACGTCTATTTGACATCTGATAGGAAACGTCCTATAGACATATTGCAGATGAGCAAACATTCTAATAAAAATGTCTTGCAGATGCAAATGTCAAATAAACATCTCTGTGATGTACATGTGTTATCAGTGATATGTTTTCCTCAGTGTGTGATCTGTACATTATTACATTTTAATGTAATACAACGCAGGGAATGTGGTAATAATTTAATAATAATTTATGCATTTAGCAGATGCTTTTATCCAAAGTGACTTACGGTGCATTCAGGCTAGACATTTTTTTACCAGTATGTGTGTTCCCTGGGAATCGAACCCCCGACCTTTTGCGCTGCTAACGCAATGCTCTACCACTAAACCAGAGGAACATATGGTAACATAGGTATTGTAGGTGAATCACTGAAGGTTTGGTCTCGTCCTCTGAGTGCTGCCATTTTAAAAAGCGAATAATGTCAACCAGCTGATCTTTATCACGTTTAATCAGTTATGCAAACCAGTGTTTCTACAGATAATTGTCACAGCAAAAGAAACAATAATTTACCCAAGTTCACAGTCTGTATCAAATATGTGATCAATGTCATAAAATAAAATGACTGCATACCACAAAATAATAACATGAATGTCTTTCTATTGGGTTGTCCTCGTGCGCTGGATGCAAAACAATAAACATACAGCACGACCAATGAACACATTACTCTTATGATCCATTTCTTTTTAGTTAAAAACACAGCCTAAATGTAGTCCGATTCAGGAACAAATGACCCTTATGAGGAGAGTGACAGGTTTGAATCGATATCTGACTCACTTAACAGCAAGTTTACGATATTATTTTTTGTGAAGTATGTATAGAATTGAAAAATAAAAGTTTTGGATTATTTATATGAAAATGTATTGTTATGTTATGTTTCTTGAGGATTTGTTGATTTTGAATTCCTTTAGGCAATTCCAGTGAACTCTTGCTGCTTTCTGTAGATATTTGATTTTGTTTTGTGGTCTTATACCAATATTAACATAGTCTTAACACCTGCAAATAATGAATACATGTAATAACAAAATTATAATAATATATATATATATATATATATATTATAAAGTTACTGACCAAATGACCAGAATCTGCAACTATATAAGAATGTCAAAGAGACTCACACTTGGTTGCTGAAAACATCTAAAGAATTGTTTCCAATCCGAATCTCTGCCCCGTTAATCCTGGTGCTACAGCAGTCGAGTCTGTTAGTGATGGTCACTTTGTTCACGCTGTACGTCTTCATCAGGTCCAGCTTCCACCACGGGTCACTCTGTGTATCTGTATGAGTACAGATGGAGCTCAACCCATCCAGAGCGTTTTGGGCATACCAGTTGTAAGCTAATGTCGACTGAACAGGTATGCCCCATGTTGCTATGTTCACTGGAATATTTTTAATGGAAAAAGATTACTTCCAATTACAATTATTTATTTATATTCTGATTGTAATTTATATAAAGAACAAATATAAAGAAAATTATAAGTTTCTGTGAAGCTGCTTTGAAATAACGAGTACTGTAAAAAGCGTTCAAAAGTTGGGGTCACTAAAAATGTATTCATTTATTCAGGAAGGATGCATTAAATTGATCCAAAATGATAGTAATTACATCCATAATGTAACAAAAATGTATATGTCATATAAATGCTGTTCTTTTGAGCTTTCTATTCATCAAAGAATAGAAAGAATCTTGAGCATCAAATCAGCATAATGATTTACGAAAGATCACGTGATACTGAACACTGAACAACGATGCTGAAAATCCAGGTTTGAATCACAAGAACACCTTACATTTTATGATATATTACCATTGAAAATAGTGATTTTAAATAACAATTTAGTGATCTTTTAATCAAATATACTGTATGCAGCATTGATGAACAAAAGATAAAAGATTTTTACTAAGGTTTTGAAAGGTGATGTATATGAGACAAATGCTTGGAGATAAGCGGGAAATATTTACTGTGGATTTTTTCCCCCCAGCTTATTTATGTTTGGTCCCTCTTCTCAATCTCTCACTCTAAGTTGCGCTCTTTTTGTCTTTTTTACTTTCATTGACTGTTGCTCATTGCTGCTCTCTTGCAGATTTCAAAAGTTTGTGAGAGAAATTCACAGTCAATAATCTTGAGTCACTGAGATGTTATTAGGAGGGTTGATCTTCAATATTGCATGAATACTTTCGGATGGTTATCAGTCAACATCTACAGGACTCAATCTGCATGATTTTTGCCTATGCCTCAATTTTACATCATGCTCCACAGTAGCAAACCTTTTTGAGATTTCTCTGTCGACTTGGATGGAAAGATTCAAACAGCAGCCAGTTTTAGTTGAAATAAAATAAGCATTTCAGGAATAGTATTGTAATTTTTCAAACTTCCATCAATCATACTTAGTAAAATAAATAATAAACCGTAATTTGTCCTGCTGGGCTATTTAAGTTTATGAGATTTCACCATGTTTCTGTAATATTTACATTGCAGAGCCTGGAAAATGTTTAAAAGCAGCACAAACTCACTGACAAAAGATGTAATAGTGTTTAATTGACAAAGTCTCACCTTCTCTTCCTGCCTTCGTTTGAACGGAGAAAAACCCTTGAAATGAGAAACAGAATGACGCTCAGTATTTAGAAATTTAAATGGATTTTTCTTATAACTAGAAACTTACATTTCCTTTCAGTCAGTTACGTTCGATGTTACGTCGACTGACATTGGGGGTCTCACTCAGGAGCCCCAATCACCTCTGAGCTTTAGAAGAAAAGGCCAATGAGAATTGGCGAGTGGAATCTGCATGCCAAGCCACTCCCCCGTACATACGGATATATAAGATGGCGGCGTACATCCACTCATTCATATTTTTGCTTTGGAGCCGATCGCATCGTGAGCGCTGCTTTCTAAAAGAAGAAAATGAATCTTCACTATCTACAAACTGCAGGAGTTCTCGGCTGCGGAGAATATTCCTTCTCTTGCATTTCAGCGGAGAGATCACCCCGTTGCACACAGATAAGTGCCGCTGTCCTTCCCTGGACAAACCAGCCTAAACGAGCAATTTCCTACATCAAGCACAGTTGTCGGGATGTCTTTCCGACCATGTACTACTTGGTGTGGTAGTTTCCTTACCTCTGACGATGGTCACAATCGCTGTCTCACCTGTCTGGGCCGTAAGCATGCTGAGACGGCGTTCGTGGATGTCTCATGCCCACATTGTGAACGCATGTCCATGGCTATGCTAAGATCGCGGCTCTCATTCATAATGAGGCTTCCCTTGGGCTCTACCCAGCCCAGTCTGTCGGGTCGTAAAGACTCTGCGGCTGCATTGGTTAGGGACAAGAGTGACCTGAGGATCATGGTCAGGAATGCTACATCAGGCCAGCCCCCACGGAATTCTGGCCCCTCCCAGTGTAGCCCCGTTGAGCTCCCAATGTCGACTGAACAGGTATGCCCCATGTTGCTATGTTCACTGGAATATTTTTAATGGAAAAAGATTACTTCCAATTACAATTATTTATTTATATTCTGATTGTAATTTATATAAAGAACAAATATAAAGAAAATTATAAGTTTCTGTGAAGCTGCTTTGAAATAACGAGTACTGTAAAAAGCGTTCAAAAGTTGGGGTCACTAAAAATGTATTCATTTATTCAGGAAGGATGCATTAAATTGATCCAAAATGATAGTAATTACATCCATAATGTAACAAAAATGTATATGTCATATAAATGCTGTTCTTTTGAGCTTTCTATTCATCAAAGAATAGAAAGAATCTTGAGCATCAAATCAGCATAATGATTTACGAAAGATCACGTGATACTGAACACTGAACAACGATGCTGAAAATCCAGGTTTGAATCACAAGAACACCTTACATTTTATGATATATTACCATTGAAAATAGTGATTTTAAATAACAATTTAGTGATCTTTTAATCAAATATACTGTATGCAGCATTGATGAACAAAAGATAAAAGATTTTTACTAAGGTTTTGAAAGGTGATGTATATGAGACAAATGCTTGGAGATAAGCGGGAAATATTTACTGTGGATTTTTTCCCCCCAGCTTATTTATGTTTGGTCCCTCTTCTCAATCTCTCACTCTAAGTTGCGCTCTTTTTGTCTTTTTTACTTTCATTGACTGTTGCTCATTGCTGCTCTCTTGCAGATTTCAAAAGTTTGTGAGAGAAATTCACAGTCAATAATCTTGAGTCACTGAGATGTTATTAGGAGGGTTGATCTTCAATATTGCATGAATACTTTCGGATGGTTATCAGTCAACATCTACAGGACTCAATCTGCATGATTTTTGCCTATGCCTCAATTTTACATCATGCTCCACAGTAGCAAACCTTTTTGAGATTTCTCTGTCGACTTGGATGGAAAGATTCAAACAGCAGCCAGTTTTAGTTGAAATAAAATAAGCATTTCAGGAATAGTATTGTAATTTTTCAAACTTCCATCAATCATACTTAGTAAAATAAATAATAAACCGTAATTTGTCCTGCTGGGCTATTTAAGTTTATGAGATTTCACCATGTTTCTGTAATATTTACATTGCAGAGCCTGGAAAATGTTTAAAAGCAGCACAAACTCACTGACAAAAGATGTAATAGTGTTTAATTGACAAAGTCTCACCTTCTCTTCCTGCCTTCGTTTGAACGGAGAAAAACCCTTGAAATGAGAAACAGAATGACGCTCAGTATTTAGAAATTTAAATGGATTTTTCTTATAACTAGAAACTTACATTTCCTTTCAGTCAGTTACGTTCGATGTTACGTCGACTGACATTGGGGGTCTCACTCAGGAGCCCCAATCACCTCTGAGCTTTAGAAGAAAAGGCCAATGAGAATTGGCGAGTGGAATCTGCATGCCAAGCCACTCCCCCGTACATACGGATATATAAGATGGCGGCGTACATCCACTCATTCATATTTTTGCTTTGGAGCCGATCGCATCGTGAGCGCTGCTTTCTAAAAGAAGAAAATGAATCTTCACTATCTACAAACTGCAGGAGTTCTCGGCTGCGGAGAATATTCCTTCTCTTGCATTTCAGCGGAGAGATCACCCCGTTGCACACAGATAAGTGCCGCTGTCCTTCCCTGGACAAACCAGCCTAAACGAGCAATTTCCTACATCAAGCACAGTTGTCGGGATGTCTTTCCGACCATGTACTACTTGGTGTGGTAGTTTCCTTACCTCTGACGATGGTCACAATCGCTGTCTCACCTGTCTGGGCCGTAAGCATGCTGAGACGGCGTTCGTGGATGTCTCATGCCCACATTGTGAACGCATGTCCATGGCTATGCTAAGATCGCGGCTCTCATTCATAATGAGGCTTCCCTTGGGCTCTACCCAGCCCAGTCTGTCGGGTCGTAAAGACTCTGCGGCTGCATTGGTTAGGGACAAGAGTGACCTGAGGATCATGGTCAGGAATGCTACATCAGGCCAGCCCCCACGGAATTCTGGCCCCTCCCAGTGTAGCCCCGTTGAGCTCCCGGCAGATGGCGCCGGTTCATCCCGCGGTGGACCCAGCGTCTCTTTCGGGGCTCCGGAAGAGGATAAGATGTCTATCAGTGCATCAGAAGAGGGGCTATCACCTTCGGAAGCCGAATATTCTGCTGAACAGCCCCCCGCCGCTGCGGCTGCTCAGTCGGAGTCCGAAGCTGAGTTCACGGCCATGCACCTCCGGGGCCGGCCAAGAGCATCGGACTGGAGGTGAATTCTCAACCTTCTCCCAAGCGCTGGAGGCTCGACGATTGGTATCCTGGCTCCGGACGTGACTCCCAGCCACGTTCTTCCCCAGTGCCTTTCTTCCCGGAGGTTCATGAAGAGCTCACCAAAACGTGGATAGCCCCGTACACTGCCCGATCACGTTTGAGCTCTTCCCTCCTCACTACCCTCGATGGTGTGGTGGCCAGGGGGTATGCTGATGTTCCCCATGTGGAGCGTGCGGTTGCGGTGCACTTGGGCCCGCAAAATGCTGCCACCTGGAGGAACCAGCTGCACCTCCCGTCCAAAGCCTGTAAGCTGTCGTCAGCACTGGCTGCCAAGACTTACAGCGCTGCAGGCCAGTCCGCCTCCACCCTGCACGCCATGGCCATCCTGCAGGTTCACCAGGCCAAGGCACTGAAAAAGCTGCACGAGGGTAGTCCTGACTTGGGGTTGATGCAGGAACTGTGTACGGCGACCGACTTTGCTCTCCGAGCGATGAAGGTCACGGCGCGGTCCCTCGGTCAGGTGATGTCCACTATGGTGGTCCAGGAGCGCCATCTCTGGCTGAACCTGGCGCAGATGTGTGATGCTGACAAATTTAGCTTTCTCTACGCCCCCCTCTCCCAGGCCTGCCTCTTCGGCGACACTGTCGAGGACTTTGCCCAGCAGTTCTCGGCAGTCCAGAAGCAGACAGAGGCCATTAAGCACATCTTGCCCCAGCGTGATTCTTCGAACCCCAGGCTGCCGGGAGCCAGGTCTCAACACCTGCTCCGCCCCAGGAAACACCAAAGGAGTTAATCCCTCAACAGGGGCATCGAGCTGGCCGCAGAAAGGGGGTGCAGCCTGCTTCTCAGGGTGCCACTAAGTCTTCTCAGAATACTGCGAAACGTCCCTGAGACGGGCGACCCAGGGATGACAGGAACTGCTCTTTTGGGGACACCGACATCTGCGCCCCCACCCCCGGGGGAGAACCGGGGGCTTTTTCCACCACTGTCACTGCTGACCTCCGGGTCAGCGGTACCCACCTTCTAAGTAAAATAGCAATTTCCCTCATCTCTGGGTCTGTCGCGCTAGGTTCTGATTGTGAGTGACACTCTACTTCCTCACGCTCAGACTCGGGGCATGAATTCACCTCTCAACACCTTGGAGTTGCTGGACGCGCTGCTTCCTCGCACTCCACTGACTTCTCCGCGGGACTGGGACGATCAGGTTAGTGCTGCTTACAGCAGCTTGTCTCTACTTCTTTTGCTTCCCGGGTTGAGCCACCTTCTTCCCACAGCTGCCCCACCACGGGTATGTTGATAACCACTCTGTTGATTGACCGGCTCGGCTACGCGATTCAGTTCGCCAGGTCCCCTCTCAGGTTCAGGGGCATTCTTTTTACATCTGTCCCAACAGACAATGATGCCTGTTTCCTGCGTGCAGAGATTGCGGTCCTGTTGGTAAAGGACGCAATAAAACCTGTCCCTACAGCAGAGATGAATTTGGGATTCTACAGTCCTTATTTCATCGTACCCAAGAAGAGCGGTGGGTTACGGCCAATCCTGGATCTGCAAGTCTTGAACCGGTCCCTACAAAGGCTTCAGTTCAAGATGTTGACGCAGAAGCGCATTCTTTCTTGCGTTCGACACCAGGATTGTTTTACAGCTATCGACCTGAAGGACGCATACTTTCATGTCTCAATTCTGCCTCAACACAGACGGTTTCTTCGGTTTGCCTTTGAGCTTATCAGTACAAAGCCCTCCCCTTCGGGCTGTCCCTGTCTCCCCACATTTTTTACTAAACTGGCAGAGGGTGTCCTGTCCCCACTGTGGGAGACGGGCATCCGGATCCTCATCTCGATGACTGGCTTATATTAGCTCACTCGCGAGATCTGTTATGTGAGCACAGGGATCTGGTGCTTCAGCACCTCAGCCATCTGGTGCTTCGAGGTCAACTGGGAGAAGAGCAAGCTCTCCCCTTTGCAGAGCATCTCTTTTCTCGGTGTGGAGCTGGATTTGGTCAAGATGACAGCACCTCTCACGAACGAGCGTGTGCAGTCAGTGCTGAACTGCCTGAATTTGTTCAGGGGCAAGACAGCGGTACCTCTAAAACTATTTCAGAGGCTCCTGGGGCATATGGCAGCCACAGCCGCAGTTACGCCGCTCGCCCTGTTACATATAAGACCGCTTCAGCATTGGTTGCATTGCCGGATCCCGAGATGGGAATGGCGCCATGTCACTCTTCGGCTCGGCATTACCCCGGGTTGTCACCGCCTCTTCAGTCCTTAGTCAGACCCTGCATTTCTACGGGCAGGAGTGCCCTTAGAACAGGTGTCGAGGCATGTTGTTGTCACCACAGATGCCTCAAAGACGGGCTGGGGCGCCGTATGCAGCGGGCATGCAGTCTCAGGCTCCTGGACAGGACCTCGACTGCAGTGGCACATCGATTGCCGATGTTTTCGAGTTTGCTAGCAGTGCTGCTTTCTCTTTGACAGTTTCAACCGTTGCTGCAGGGCAAGCATGTACTTGTCCGGACGGACAACACAGCGACGGTGGCGTATATCAACCACTAGGGCGGTGTACACTCCCGTCGCATGTCGCAACTCGCCCGCCATCTCCTCCTCTGGAGTCAGACGCGGCTCAAATCGCTGCACGTTGCATGTTCTGTGAGAGCTCAATTGTGCAGTCGATGTGCTCTCACGACAGCTTGGTTGGTTGCGCCATTCTGGCCCACCCGGACCAGGTTTGCTGACCTCATGTTTCTCGCGACAACCCCTCCCTGGAGGATTCCCCTGAGGAAGGACCTTCGTTCTCAGGGGATGGGCACGATCTGGCACCCGGCGACCCAATCTATGGAACCTGGACAGGACGCGGTAGACCTCTCTGGCCTTTCTCAGACTGTGATAGATACTATCACTCAAGCTAGAGCCCCCTCTATGAGGCAGGCCTATGCTTTGAAGTGGGGTATATTCGTTGAGAGGTGTTCCTCCTGCCGAGAGGACCCTCAGAGATGCTCGGTTGGTGCGGTGCTTTCCTTCCTGCAGGAAAAGCTGGAGCGGAGGCTGTCCCCCTCCACTTTGAAGGTGTATGTCGCTGCCATTGTGGCTCACCACGATGGAGTGGATGGTTCATCTCTGGGGAAGTATCACCTAATCGTCAGGTTCCTGAGAGGTACGAGGAGACTAAATCCTCCTAGGTCGCACTTCATCCCCTCTTGGGATCTCTCCGTGGTTCTCTTGGGATTATGGAGGGACCCCTTTGAGCCGCTTGATTCAGTTGAGCTAAAACATCTGTCTTTCAAGACTTCGCTCCTGATTGCGCTCACTTCCATCAAGAGGGTGGGGGACCTGCAGGCATTCTCGGTCAACAAATCGTACCTTGAGTTTGGGAGACCCCGGCCTGGTTATGTGCCCAAGGTTCCCACCACTCCCTTTCGAGA